CCCCCGGCCTTTCCCCTTTGGTAATTGAAAACCCCGCCCCGGGAAAACCCCCCCGGCTTCCCCCCCGCTTTTTTGGGGGTGGGGGGCAAATGTTTTAAGGATTCCGGCCCCCCCGATTTGGGGACCCCCCCCCCCCCCTCGGGGGTTGGTCCCTGGGGGAAAAATCCCCCCCCCTTTGGGGGGGGGGGGGTAAATGGTTTACCCCTTAAGGCATTAAAAAAAAAAGGGTCCCCCCCCCCCCCCCCCCCCCCCTCCCCTTTGCAGGACCTGCCGGACGTGAAGGGGGACAAGGAGTACAATATCTCGACCTTCGCGTCGAAGAGGGGAGTCAAGTTCACGGCGCGAGCGGCTTCGGCGATTCTGGCGGTTAACTACTTGTCAGCCATCGCGGAGGGAATCCTTTCACCCGGTACGAGAGTCGTGATTTGAGTAGTAGTTGTACCGCAAGAGCACCCGTGTTTTTGTGGGCTGCCTCCCCAGAGAACGTAACTTTCTGATGTTTTTCTTGTTGTGGTCTTCACATCTCTACCCGTTCCCTTCTTCTGTCCGCCAAAAAAACACTTGATGACGCGGTCTTATGCATCCGAAAAATGAGCAGGCAGGGGGCACGCAGACCATAACCTCAACCCTAACCCCAACCTAGCCGACTTTATACTTTATCCGGTATGCTTAAACCTGCGTAGACTTGTTGGTTTTTGTGCGTACATCTCTCAGGAGTAGTGATTGGTCGACTTGCTTGAGTCACTGCTGCTGTTGACATGCCAACGGGGACATTTTTTGTTTTTTCTTTGCTCGTGGACACACCAACATGGCCGTGAGGTTCCAAACGGGAACGCGCCACTTTATGGTACTTTTCTCTCGTCGGCACTCAAGTCGTTGCGTACTGTGAACATGTCATCGGGGACAAAGTTATTTTCCATCGTCCAGTCTCCGTGACGTTATTTAAGGCTTGCTGAAGGGGGGAAAAACGTTCCGTTCTGCCAAACGGAAAAAAGAAGAGAAAAAAAAAACAAAAGAAAGAAAATATCCCAACAGAGCTACGCGTTGTACACAGCGATACATAGCACTGCTAGTATCCTCCTTTCCCCCCTCCCACCCCCCCGGGGGGGGCCTCGCTGGGTGGTCGCTTGTGCAGCCATCGGTACGCGACGGGCGCCCTCAACAGGCAGGTACAGACAGCCAAGGGTCCCTTTTTTCTCCTCCCGTTAACGGCCAATGCCTTTCCTCGCCGTGCTTGCTCTTTGATACCTCCCCCCCCCCCCTCCCCCTCCTTTGATACACCGTCGCCCCCACTGCCTCTCGTACCGCTTGCAGCGGGCACTTTCAACAGGCGGGTCATGGTCGGCGGTCACTCGGCGCTGCTGGCTATCCTCGGACTCGCTATCCGAAGACTCGTACCGGACGACCAGGGAAGCATCAAGCGGTTCTACCTTCGCATCTGGGATCTCTTCTACCTCGAGTACGCCATGTACCCGTTCATGTAGTCTTCTTCGTCGACGTGTACCCGTTCGTGCGGTGTCGTCTTCGACGTGTACCACCTGTTCATGCAGTGTCTTAATCGCCGTGGCCATGCAGTCTGCCGAGTGACGCTCGGTGTGCGACGTGTCGAGTACAGAGTCGTGGGTCCGACATCAGAGGGCACCTTATCAGAAGGGGGCTCCGATAGAAGAAGGTCCAAATCGGCTGTCACGGACTCGACCCCCTGTAGTATACTTCAGAAGTTAGGAACCCTCTTGTTCGGGTATAAGAGGGGGGTCCGATAATGATGGGCCGAGGGATGTTTGCCACACCACCCTCTTTTGTCGGAGCCACGGCTGTGCGCCCCTTGTAACCGGTTCCTGTGTAGTCGGCGGCGGCGGCGGCGGCGGCGGCGGCGGCCGAGTGGCTCTCGATTTGAAACGGGTCTTCGACGTCTGCAGTCCCAGGTGGGGTGCACGCGGCGCACAACCACCGCTTCGGAATTATTGTAGTTAATAATTGTTTTTTTTTTTGCGCCGGTGTGCCTGTCCGGTGACTGCGGGCGTGCTGGAGGAGTAGTTCTGCCTGTCATGAATTCGGGTTGTTGCTGTTTTTCCTCGAAAAGCGGGATCTGCCCACCCGGAAGTGTGGGGCAATGCCCGAAAAGAAATCGAGATATCTAGGTATCTCAAGCCCGCACCATCATATCGGATTGGGTGTTGCAGCAGGGGTTTTCGAGATCGCACCGGGCTGAGTGAACCGATTGCAGTCAGCTCATCATCCACCTCTTGTTGTTGTTGTGGTGGCTGTAAGGAATACACATTCATTGGGAATTGGGTTGATCCAAGGCATGTTTTTTGCTGTAAGCGGAGGGACGTCGAAGGGTGTGTGCTCGTTCTTCGCCCAACGGCCTGACGGTGGAGGTAGAGAAGAAATGACAAGCATGCGAAATAGACTAGAAGAGAGAGAGCTGATTGTTTTTGGGCGGGCAAGAGAGGGATATATAGATGCGATCGAACCCTGCCGAGAAACGGGCTCTGTTTAGCAGAACTATAACAAGGGCCGAACCTTCTCCTTTGAGGCTTTTTCCCGCGGCATTGTTGACACAGCTGGGGGGGGGGGGGCGGGGGGGGGGGGGTAACTCCACCCCCCCCATTTGG